CCAAAATTTGAGTATTTTTCTATGTTATGTTCATGTTTATGTTCATAAACTTTTTATTTAATAAAATATGTTTTCATAGTTTGTGTTGTCCCTTATTATCAATGCAAAATGGTCACTAACTAAAGAGGATTTATGCTGATATTGCCCAAAAACCCTATTTTGTTCAGGCGTTTCCAAACTTTTGGAGGGCAGTGTAATCAACTATTCATCCAGCGATAAGTTAAGATATTAACTCTGTGGCCACCGGCAATAATATTCTAAATATAGTGAAACACTATATTAAGAGCACAGTAACAAGATCGGCAGTATAAGGCAGAAAATTATAAGCACTGAGACACAAGACACTTGCATTTAAAAATCAGACGAGACTTTATTAAACTATTCTAAGACACCGAAACTAATTGAACACAAAACTCATGCACGCATCCACACACACACACAAAGGTCAAACAGAGAAGGGTTTTGTACAGAGAACGAATGAAATCCTGAGTTTCTAAGACTGTATGCTATTTCTCAGCCCATGACCTGAACCAACCATCAACTTATCAGTTTAACCTTCGTTTCACTAGAGCGGCTTTAAACTTTATATTAAAAGCACCAGTTCAGCTAGAAACTGGAAGTACTGTACTTGCGTTTGCGTTGTCTTTTTGGCCAGGGTTCCCTCGTGGCGTCGTTGTCTGAGGGCTTTCCCAGCGATGTGAATTCATCAGCGGCCTGGTTGCTTTTGAGTGGTATCTTGGAAGACATTCAGCATGGTGAATGGCGTGAGGCGTGCACCCGGCAGAGTCTTGTAGGCTGGTTGCATAGGAACTTTGTTGAGAGAAAAAGTGGTTCCTGGTGGTGCAAAGGCAGGAGTTGGAAGCTTTGCAGAAACCTGTCTGGATGTGGACTCTCAGAAGGGGGTGTGATCTCCTTGTGATTTTGAGGGGCGAAAACTTCTGGAGCTCTTGGTTGACAAGAACACGCAGAAGATGTTGATAGAAGAGAACTCCTGGAAGAAGTTGATAGAAGAGAACCCCTGGAAGATGTTGATAGAAGAGAACCTCAGGAAGATGTTAATAGGAGAGAACTCTGAGTTTCCTTTGTGTCAGGTGGTTTTCACTTTCTATGTGGTCTGACCCTTTTGGGGCAGGGTGTAAACTGCAATCTCCTCCTCTGACACTAATTACCACACTGGGCTCTGAGTTATGTGCTTTTTCTAACTTTCTACAAGGTAAAGTTAGAACTTTGGTCATGACTCTTGTAACACGGATGTAATACATTGTACTCAAATTTAATTTATCCCAACCATTAAGAAATTAAATAACGATCACAAACATACCAAACATCACATACCTGTTGATATTGATATCATCAACACTATGATACCTGTTAAATGATCAAAAGCATCATAATGGTGGCTATAGGCATGATACATATAAGGAATGACATTAAAAAGGCAATATGTTTTTTCAAACCATGGTGCATCATTTTAAGAGTCATTGTCCTTTCAGGAGATGTAAGGTAACCTGATGCATTTGTTAATGCTGGGTTCTTGTGGTGAGAACAGGGTGATAATTGTGTTCCCGGGCCAAAGAACAAAGGGTCTTGGTCCAGAAGGACAGCCTGTGTTGATTTTTTCTTGAAGCCTCCCTGGGTGAGTCACCCCCTTTTGGCCCTAGGTTATCAGATTTATGGCTGAGGGTTCTTGGGTGTTATCCTGTGGACAAGCCATCGAGTCTTGGCCAATGGCCTAAATCAATAGGTTTGACAGGGTTCCTCTTGGCTGAGATGGTTCATCCTCTAGTCAGGGATGCTCTAATGGTTGCCCTACTGAGCACAGGACAGTTGAGATTAGGCAGCTGCAAGTAATTAACTGGCTTCTCAGAGTCTGTGAGTGAGGTCGATTGTTTTATGGTTCCTGTAATGGGTGATCTTTGCTGCTTGTGCATCCCAAAGTCTTACACACAAACTAACACAAAACAAGAATGAGAACAAGCTTAAACTACAAACAATGTTTCACAATTTTAAGAGTTTGAATGGATATACAAGGGTGAGTCAAATGAAAAAACTCAAACAAAAAACCTAACCGAAACATGTTCCAGTATTCTAAGGCCCTTGTGTACAAAGTGAGGTCCATAAAGTCATGGTTTGCCATGGTGGGTGTGGAAATATTTGAGTACATATGGCTGTGATGGTCAGGTGTCCAAATACTTAAATTCAATTAAATTTTATTTGTGTAACGCTTTTAACAATGGACATTGTCACAAATCAGCTTTACAGAAATAAATTGATTAAAAAAAAATACTGTAAATATGTGAATTTATCCATAATGAGCAAGCCAGAGGTGACGGTGGCAAGGAAAAACTCCCTGAGACAATATGAGGAAGAAACCTTGAGAGGAACCAGGCTCAAAAGGTAACCCATCCTCATCTGGGTGCAACGGATAGTGCAATTATAAATAAATCCCTTCTATTGTGTACTATATGGACAAATAGTGCAAATGTGCAACCAGTAAATTCATCACAGTTTTCGCAAGATGTCCGGTTGGTTAAAATCTATCCACTGTCCACTGATGGAGTCCTGAGTACGAAGGTGCTCATGGAAACTGCAGCCCCAAAGCCACCACAGCAATCACAGTCCCAAGCCATAGCTCCCCATACGTAATCCCCAAGCCATCATACTTTTGGCCTTATGTGTGTTTTAGACCACAGGATCACTATAAAAACAAGTCAATTAAAACTCTCAGTTAATACCACAGTTGCTGATTCGAGATGGTATGAATGGTAATAACAAAACATTATATAAACTGGAGCAGAGTATGTCTTAAATTATTTAAACAAGCAACATGGATGAAGGATGATTTGGGAGCTTTACACTGAATTAGCTCAAGGGTCCCTGGAGGACTAGTGGTTAGGCCACAGCATGCTCACCGCTGCAGCCAGGGTTTGATTCCCGGCCAAGAAACGTGCCCAGGTTGCGTGTAACAGTGAGCTCTCAGTGCCGGTCCCAAGCCCAGATAAAATTGGTGAGGGTTGCATCAGGAAGGGCATCCGGCATAAAACCTGTGCCAAATCAAATTCGCGGACCGATGATCCGCTGTGGCGACCCCTAACGGTAGCAGCTTGAAAGGGGAACAACAACACTGAGTTAGATCAAGGTCTGTGCCTTGAAGAAAGGGGATTGAGAGTAACCAATCACAACAGGAGAGACTAAGCACGCTCACAACGGGCGTTCTCAATTAATGATACTGTTCAAACGTCATAATTTCGGATATAGGAACGTGAATGATCAATTATTAGTAAATGATTACTCTTTTTTTTTTTTTTTTTTTTTTAGGTTGTTTTGCCATAAATGCTGGCTGTGCAGCTTTTTGTCTTCTTGGGAAGCCAATGCCCCCTTAGACGCGCTTACGCCTATGATACTTTCTTTCAGTTTATTGTTTATTTTTTCTGCTTCCGTGTTTGAGTTGTGGACTCGATCATGTGACTGCTGTCTGTTGCAGGAAGTGGAATGAAGATGGCGGTTTCTACAAGACTGCTAACTGAATCCGTGTTAGGGTGGTCTATTTTCACTATTGTACTGTTGGTAAGAGAAGTATATTTTGGCTTAAACATTATATGAAGCGTGTTTCTAGTGTATAAGTTGACCCTATCTGTCCAAATTCACTTTGTCAACAGGATACGTTTAGGCGTATAAAGGCAAAGGTTGTTTTGTTTACATACCAGAGTTACCTTATCGGATAACAAATTTTCCTTTTCCTTTTTTCAGTTCTAATTGCGATTAAATTAACCTACAATTGTCATTAGTCGAGCTGCATTTTATATACTGCATTTTATATACTGCATTTTATATACTGCATTTTATTGTTGAAGGTTACTACTGAAGGAAATGGGAGTAAGCATGCTGGTTAGGCGCCTACTACAACCCCTGGCAAAAATTATGGAATCGCCACACTTAGAGGATGTTCACCTAGCTTTTTTTTACTTTATAGCAAACAAACGAATCACAGATATGACACAAAAAAGGTTTTGTTCAATAGCTTAACATTCTGGTTTGTGAAACATGCATCAAAAAAATTCACTGACTTTTTTTTTTTTTATTAATGGCATGTCATTTTCCAAATCAAGTAGAGGAAATAATTATGGAATCACTCAATGCTGAGGAAAAAATTATGGAATCATCTTTTAATTTCCATTTCTAAAACAAATACCGGGACACGTTTAAACATGCTAATTAGTCAGCAGTTAAAAGGGAGTGCTTACACACCTTAACGAGCTGTTGGACTTGACTAATTGAAGGGAAACATGGCTCCAACGAGAGAGTTGTCAGTTGAAACATTGGAAAGGATTATAAAACTCCTTCAACATGGAATTTCAACACGGAGTGTGGCCAAAGAAGTTGGTTGCTCCCAGTCAGCTGTGTCTAAAATTTGGGGCAAATATAAAGTTAATGGAAAGATTATAAAAAGAAAACATACGGGCAGACTAAGGAAGACGTCAAAGCATCAGGATAGAAAACTCAAAGCAATATGCCTTGAAAATAGAAAATGCACAATAAAACAAATGAAAAACCAATGGGCGGAAACAGGAGTCAGTGTCTGCGACATAACTGTAAGAAACCGGCTGAATGAAATGGGATTTACATATAGAAAAGCCAAAGGAAAACCAGCACTAACACCTAAACAAGGTTACAGTGGGCTAAGGAGAAGCAATCATGGAGTGTGGATGATTGGATGAAAGTGATATTCAGTGATGAATCACGAATCTGCATTGGCCTAGGAGATGATGCTGGAACCTTTGTCTGGTGCCGTTCTAACGAAACATATGAAGATGACTGCCTGAAGAAAACAATCAAATTTCCCAATTCATTTATGACTTGGGATTGCATGTCAGGTAAAGGACCAGGGGAGGTGGCAGTCATTACCTCAGCAGTCAATGCACAGGAGTACATTGAAATTCTGGACACTTTTCTCATTCCATCCATAGAAAATAGGTTTGGTGGTGATGAAGTAATTTTTCAGGATGACAACGCATCGTGCCACAGAGCAAACAGTGTTAAAGCTTTTCTTCAGGAAA